GCTCAGATGCCCCAGCCGCTGCCACAGAGTAAGATGGAGGTGAAAAGCCCGTTTTAGATGAAGTCCGAGGAGCACAAACATGGAAAATTTGTACAAAAACCAATGACATTTCAAACCTTCTGTTTTCTCCCATACTTTCATCCATTCCTGTTCCATCCACTACATTGTATATGGCATTTTGAAGGAAGGAATTTGGATGGAATGATTGGAAGTGAAAGGCACATTTTCCCCCATGTTTTTAATATTTTTTTATAGCAGTTGTGTGGGTGTGTGTGCGGATGAGTGAGATTAATAGAGCATTGCTTGTTTCAATTATTTTTTTTTTTTACATTTTCTTTTGTAGGTGAACTATGTTAGTGTCGTAAGGACATTGAGTTGAAATGTTAGTTGAAGGTACTGGTGCCATACAATTGGGTAAATCAAGCGTGTGGAAAAAGGAGCTATCAGTAACAACGCCGCTGAGCAATTTACAGATGTTATTGGTCAGTTCTCATTTGATTTTACTGTCATTACATGAATCACTAAAACAGGTGCTCAAAACCTCAGCAGCTGCATTGTGCAATACCGCAGCATTATGTATTGGTATTGGCTTTTGTCATTGCTGGATTTTACGATGTTGAAAATGGCTTTATCATGTTTTCTTTCTTAATATCAATGGTATCTGAAGTTTTTTCCCTCTCTTTCTGGAAATAATCCTGTTTCAATGAGAATGATGTTCTAAAATGTTTAACATCAAAACATTTGACTTGTCATGTGTAATGCAGTCCAAGTGGTTTTTATTCCAGCAGAGTTCCACAAATGTTTGAAAAATTGCCGGTGCAATCGTCAAGTAGATTTTTTTTCTTTTCTTTCCTGTAAATACTTCAGCACCATCTCTGCTTGATTTTTAAATGGAATGTAACTGCGTGCAAATAATTCACAATGCTTCTTTTACCCCTGCATTTTAGGGGCATTCAAAACAAAAATAAAGGATTTAGACCGACTATGAGTTTTGAGTTTTGATTTTGCAATATTCATTTATATAATATAAGAAATTGAGAATTTTACAAGAGAATAACGTGAAATGTTATTTTGGTTGAGGTCTTCTATCCTTCCATGACTATCTCTACCATCAAACCCATTGTGCCATCATATATTGAACAACAGCACCATGATAAAACTTTTAATTATGTGATTATATGAGGGTTTGTAGGCTTTACTCCACCTCTTTCTCAAATCACAAAGACCTTGAGGTATGAAAAACTTTTCATTATGTTTTGTGTATTTATCCCCAGCACTGGTAAATACCGTTCTTCTAAATCCCAAGAAAAGCCAAATGCTTTCCAAGTATAAAATGAATGTTAACAGACACTACTCGGATGTTTTTAGCCTACCACAGAAGCTAAAGATAATTTAGAACCATGCTTTTTCTGCGCTCCAAGATGAACCCCACCACTAATCTAGCAACCACAAGATGGGTGTGTTTTCACCCAATATTCCTGTTCCTAGTTTAGATGCTGGATATTCATCTTATATATGGCAATGTTAAACTTGTGGCTCCCACCTCTGCTCTAACAGATGGTAACGACTTCACCCTCCAGGTGCTCTTGTCTTCATTTTTTTATTCAACCACATCCCTCAAACCCTCCAAATGCAGTGCGTGCCTGTGGCTTGTGGCTCCCAGCTTCTGATTGCCTCCACCCAGTGTCTTCTGTTTGATTTGACTCTCCACTTAACCCACATCTTTTGGATGACTGGGTGAACTTAACACAGTCATCAAAGCATACTCTTTACTTCCCTCTCCTATTTTTAAAGACACTGCTCTTGAAACTACATAATTTATTATTGTCATTATTTTTTGTAACCACCAACACAAAATAGAAATATCCCTTTAGATATGTGCGCTGTTGTAATTCTGTTGCATCGTATACCACTTTGTAGTTAACCTTGTTTCTAAAATCACAGCAAATGACTCATGAAATTATTCAGCATACTAAAACACGAACACAGACAAGAACTCTTTAGGAAATATTTTATTTTAGTCATTATGGTTTACAGAGCAAAATTAATCATTCGGGATAACATTTATAGATGTTTATTTGTTTGCTTGTGAGTTTGTTTTTCATAATTTTCACCATCTCACAATATTCAAGTCAGATATAAGGATGTCAGGAAGAGCATTCTCTCTGTATAATCAGTAAGGATATAAGGACAACAATAACAGTAAAATAAGACACAAAGGTTTGAATTAGCCACTGTGATCAGCAACAAGAAAACAAAAATACAAAAAAAAAAAAAAACGAGGAAAAGACATGAAATTATCAGGACACATCTTCACATGCTCGATCCACACACACAAAAAATGAAATTGTTAAGGTTTTAACTGTCTTTCTATCCCTGATAACGTGTTACATAAATTACTTCCTTCTTATTGGCACCACTGCTTGGAATTTTCAAGTTGAGATGCTTGTATTTCTCAGAACAACAGCACAATCTGTTATGCATCAAGGTTCGCAGAACAGGATATTTTGTTTGAGAAATAGTGATGTTTTAGATGTGATGTGGTTGATCACCTTATCACGTAGAGGCAATCAGGAACCCAGAGAAAGAGCAATGGACATTATCAGCGGCAAAAACGCCATTAGCCTCATCATCAGGGATCTGGATATAAACAGTGTCTTGCTCATTGAGCTGAAGGACAGAACTACCAGACATCTGGTCCACAAATCCCTTGTTGTACTCATCATAGGTGAACATGACTGGATCACTATTTTTATAAAGTGCCACTAAAGCATTAGCACCGTTCACATGCATGCTATAGGAGAAGTAATAAATTCCTGGAATCTGGCAGGTGAACAGACCTGTCTCGGGATCATAATGCTGCTCTGCATTATACACAATCTGATCAAACTTAATTGGGGTGCCAGATGGGGGATAAGGTGTCACAGTTGCAACAGTGAATGCAGACACAGGACTTTTGACAAGAACTGGGTATGAAATTTCACTTTGGGCCTTCTCAAATATGGCCTCACCAGGAGGACCAGGAGGGCCGGGAGGTCCAGCAGGACCCGGAAGTCCAGCAGGTCCATCAGATCCAGGAAGTCCAGGTGGACCCTGAGGTCCAGGAATTCCTTTGGCAGCCAAACCAGCTGGGCCAGGTGATCCAGGAATACCTGGGTGACCTTTAAGGCCAGGTAGGCCTGAAGGACCTGCTGGGCCAATGGGGCCTCTTGCTCCAGGAGCACCTGCCTCTCCTTTTTCACCTGCTGCTCCAGGATATCCTGTATGACCCTTTGGTCCAACAGGCCCAGATGTTCCTGGGGCACCAGGAACACCTGTTTGGCCAGCATCTCCTTTGTTGCCAAGTGCACCAGTAGCTCCCCTGGGACCAGATTGGCCTGTGGCACCTGGATAACCCTGCTTGCCTTCAATGCCTTGGGGTCCCTGTTCTCCCTTGTGCCCCTTCAGCCCTGGAGGTCCCATTGGACCTTGATCACCCTTATCACCTGTTGCTCCCCTCTCACCTGGGAAACCTCTTGCCCCTTGAGGACCAGCTGGACCCATAGGACCAGTGGCACCTGGATATCCAGTGTGCCCTTTAGAACCTGGCTCACCTTTCTGACCTGTTGTACCTGGGCTACCAGCTACTCCCCTCTCACCTTTTGCACCAGGTTCACCTGGTTTGCCATAACCTGGAACACCAGGAGCACCAGGAGCACTAGCTGCACCTTGTGGACCTTTGGGGCCAGCAGGGCCAGGCATACCTGGAGCACCATTCTCACCTGGCTTGCCTGGAATTCCAATTCCAGGAGCACCCGTTTGACCTTTTGTACCTGGTGCACCCATGGGTCCAGGTTCCCCATCACGGCCAGGTGAGCCTGATTTACCTGGTTCACCAGGAAGTCCAGATTTGCCAGATCTTCCAACACCAGGCTCACCAGGCTTTCCAGTAGCGCCCACTGGTCCTGCTGGACCTCTCCCACCTGGTGGCCCCTGAACCCCAATACCCCTTTCTCCTTTTTGTCCTGGCGCACCAGGAATACCTGGATGTCCTTTAATACCTGGCGCACCCTGTGGTCCCACTGCTCCTGGCAGACCTGCTGTTCCAGGTTTGCCTGTTGCAGAAATGCCTGCTGGTCCAGGGCTACCAACAGGACCAGGCATTCCTCTGGGGCCTTGAGGACCAGGTGCACCAGTATCTCCATTAAGTCCAGGTGCACCTGTGGCTCCAGGTTTGCCGGATCCACCTGGAGTACCAGGTTTTCCATGTGCTGAGTAACCAGCAGGACCAGGTGGTCCAGGGGGTCCCTGTGGCCCTGGCAGTCCTTCACCATCTTCTCCTCGGTCTCCAGGGGGGCCAGGAGGTCCAGGTGGGCCTGGCTCACCAGGGGTGCCTGGTTCTCCTGCTACGGATACCACTGTAATAAAACAAAAAGCATATCAGTGGCAATATTCATAGTCATTATGTACATCAGTGGCAATAATCAGTTATAGATGGAATTGCCACTTTGGAATTGAGTTAATGTAATTTGATGTTGACAATACACTATGAGTACAATATACCAGTATAAAAATGATAATATACAGTGTTTCTAGAGATCTGGACAGAAATGTTTGACTAAAAGTGGTCCTATAACCATATAGTGCCTTGTTAGTAATTGTTTGACTATAGAATGGTTCACAGATATAACTACAGGCTTTTTATAATAGAGCTGTTTTCCTAAGAAGCAGGAAGTCAGTATCAAGTTGAGTATGAGTATGTAAGTATGCTCTACAGATCTTCTATAAAGTCCTTTTTTATTCAAGATCCTTTTATAAAAACAGTGTTCATACATCAGAAATAATTCATTTTAAAACTTCAAATAACACATTTTAAAATGTCAAACCTTGTGTATCGTTGATGCATGACAAATCTATAAGTATACATTTATACATACATTTGTATGTTAAATTATATATATATTTCTTATCTCTTTAATTTTTGTGGATAAAGTACTTGTTTCAAATGTTATATTTTAACTTTAAATCTTATATCTGCCAGATGGGGGATAAGGTGTCACAGTTGCAACAGTGAATGCAGACACAGGACTTTTGACAAGAACTGGGTATGAAATTTCACTTTGGGCCTTCTCAAATATGGCCTCACCAGGAGGACCAGGAGGGCCGGGAGGTCCAGCAGGACCCGGAAGTCCAGCAGGTCCATCAGATCCAGGAAGTCCAGGTGGACCCTGAGGTCCAGGAATTCCTTTGGCAGCCAAACCAGCTGGGCCAGGTGATCCAGGAATACCTGGGTGACCTTTAAGGCCAGGTAGGCCTGAAGGACCTGCTGGGCCAATGGGGCCTCTTGCTCCAGGAGCACCTGCCTCTCCTTTTTCACCTGCTGCTCCAGGATATCCTGTATGACCCTTTGGTCCAACAGGCCCAGATGTTCCTGGGGCACCAGGAACACCTGTTTGGCCAGCATCTCCTTTGTTGCCAAGTGCACCAGTAGCTCCCCTGGGACCAGATTGGCCTGTGGCACCTGGATAACCCTGCTTGCCTTCAATGCCTTGGGGTCCCTGTTCTCCCTTGTGCCCCTTCAGCCCTGGAGGTCCCATTGGACCTTGATCACCCTTATCACCTGTTGCTCCCCTCTCACCTGGGAAACCTCTTGCCCCTTGAGGACCAGCTGGACCCATAGGACCAGTGGCACCTGGATATCCAGTGTGCCCTTTAGAACCTGGCTCACCTTTCTGACCTGTTGTACCTGGGCTACCAGCTACTCCCCTCTCACCTTTTGCACCAGGTTCACCTGGTTTGCCATAACCTGGAACACCAGGAGCACCAGGAGCACTAGCTGCACCTTGTGGACCTTTGGGGCCAGCAGGGCCAGGCATACCTGGAGCACCATTCTCACCTGGCTTGCCTGGAATTCCAATTCCAGGAGCACCCGTTTGACCTTTTGTACCTGGTGCACCCATGGGTCCAGGTTCCCCATCACGGCCAGGTGAGCCTGATTTACCTGGTTCACCAGGAAGTCCAGATTTGCCAGATCTTCCAACACCAGGCTCACCAGGCTTTCCAGTAGCGCCCACTGGTCCTGCTGGACCTCTCCCACCTGGTGGCCCCTGAACCCCAATACCCCTTTCTCCTTTTTGTCCTGGCGCACCAGGAATACCTGGATGTCCTTTAATACCTGGCGCACCCTGTGGTCCCACTGCTCCTGGCAGACCTGCTGTTCCAGGTTTGCCTGTTGCAGAAATGCCTGCTGGTCCAGGGCTACCAACAGGACCAGGCATTCCTCTGGGGCCTTGAGGACCAGGTGCACCAGTATCTCCATTAAGTCCAGGTGCACCTGTGGCTCCAGGTTTGCCGGATCCACCTGGAGTACCAGGTTTTCCATGTGCTGAGTAACCAGCAGGACCAGGTGGTCCAGGGGGTCCCTGTGGCCCTGGCAGTCCTTCACCATATTCTCCTCGTTCTCCAGGGGGGCCAGGAGGTCCAGGTGGGCCTGGCTCACCAGGGGTGCCTGGTTCTCCTGCTACGGATACCACTGTAATAAAACAAAAAGCATATCAGTGGCAATATTCATAGTCATTATGTACATCAGTGGCAATAATCAGTTATAGATGGAATTGCCACTTTGGAATTGAGTTAATGTAATTTGATGTTGACAATACACTATGAGTACAATATACCAGTATAAAAATGATAATATACAGTGTTTCTAGAGATCTGGACAGAAATGTTTGACTAAAAGTGGTCCTATAACCATATAGTGCCTTGTTAGTAATTGTTTGACTATAGAATGGTTCACAGATATAACTACAGGCTTTTTATAATAGAGCTGTTTTCCTAAGAAGCAGGAAGTCAGTATCAAGTTGAGTATGAGTATGTAAGTATGCTCTACAGATCTTCTATAAAGTCCTTTTTTATTCAAGATCCTTTTATAAAAACAGTGTTCATACATCAGAAATAATTCATTTTAAAACTTCAAATAACACATTTTAAAATTTCAAACCTTGTGTATCGTTGATGCATGACAAATCTATAAGTATACATTTATACATACATTTGTATGTTAAATTATATATATATTTCTTATCTCTTTAATTTTTGTGGATAAAGTACTTGTTTCAAATGTTATATTTTAACTTTAAATCTTATATCTGTGATTCTATTTTATGTAATTTCAGAAACATTCCTACATTTCACTTCCTACAATTGCATGCAGCATTGTTTTGCTGTATTGTTGATAAATAAACTTGACTGGACAAAGGCAATCCAGAATATTTATCCAAAGACTTAAGGGATATAACTCTTTCTTAAATATTGTATTGTGATTTTAACTTAAAATCCGAGGTACTTCAGCATTAAATGTATTTTGTATATTTTGTATTCATACTACATATATCCATAACAATCAGTTGTCTGTTTTACATTACATTATCTATTCTTTTTTGTGCATTTTGTAATTCCACTTTAGAATATAATCCCTGTTTTAAAAATATATATTTATGTGGCTGGGGCTTCAGTTTTATGATTGCTTTCATGTGGTCAAATCTATTGGTTTGTAAACTGCATCATACCAAAGGTCATTCTTCTAGGCACAGCTTTTATGAAACAAAACAGATGTGTCTAGATTTTGCTGTGACACACCCAGACAAATCACTTTTCAACATGTCTCTAAGAAGCTCATTTTAAATAGCTAACTTTCAAAAGTTGGTTGGTTTTTATGTGCATATACTTTCAAATCTAAAACAACACGGAATTGCTTCTACTCAAACAAATCATATAAATCTGTACAGTATTTTGTTGTATAGTAATACCAATCTAAGGATGACTTCTATGAATATATTTGAACTTTGCAGATTTCATCGAACCATGTAGTTAAACACAATATAAGAAAACAGATTCAACATACTGAATTTTTCATACAGTACATCCTTCAGCCTACTGTTCAACACTCCAGACTGGAATTTAGTGAAAGATATTATAGGACTAAAGGATCAGTTTTATGTAAAAATGCATTTTTGCTACCTAAACAAAAATGATTTTAAAAATGACTTCTGGTATATAATCAGAGACAGCAGAACAGACTTCATAGTATGATGCATCTTTAAAGGCATGACATGTTTTAGCCTACAATGAATCTAAAATTTGAATATTCAAAACCTTAGACAAGTTGCATCACACTATTGGAGGAAGCATTGTGTATCAGCAACCAATCAGTGTGCTGGATTCTACTCATGCAGCTTTGCAATGTGCATACCTAATTTTTACCTAAGATTTGTTTTGCCTCATTTAGATCAAGTACCACAAACAGAAGCAGATCTTCAGCACGCTGCAGAAAGCAAAGGGAAGCATTTTTCAATTTGAAACATACCATGGCTTTTTACTGAGTAAGGCTGGTACTGAG